AAAATAAAGACACTTTCCTTATATAAATCGAACCCAAGCTATCGATTAAGCTTATCAAGAATTCGATCGGTTCAGCCGTTATTCAGATCTGGTAATCTAAGGTACTCTCAACTATCCGACTCGCGTATAGATACCCGGGGTGCCTCGCTATTACTACGCGTGGTCTTTGCTTCGCGTGACTTGGCGCGAGACACTACTGTGTCTCTTAATTCTAAATTTTTATATTTCCAGATTCAGTTTGTTTCCAACCACGCAAGGATGTTAAACCCATTATTCGTAGTATTGTTAAAGCCAGTAAGTATCACTGTATTATTAGGACCACCTGGCATGGTACTAACAAATTCTAATCATATCTATAACAAACTTTTATTTTTTTTCACAAAATTTGCCGCTTTATATAGTTATGATTATTTTGTAGTAATTAAAGTGAATATATCTTGAAATACCGATTTTGTTTCAATAGATATACCAATACACGTGGTAAACCAAGAAAAGCCTCAGTCTTCTCACGTTTCCGCACGCACGCACGCACGCACGCACGCACGCACGCACGCACGCGCGCACATTTTTTTCTACAAATTTAGCCAAAAATTTTGATTTAATTTATTTTATTATTTACTTATTATTTTATTTATTATTCGTGTATTACTTGGACAATATTTTTTCAGAGAAAGATGATTCAGATTAGGGGCATCAAAGACGTTAAGAAACATGTGCGTCAAATACTAATCACCATATTAAACGACGATTTATGGTACTTACTTCTCTTACTGCGTACCGCCGACTGTACTGCGAAAGTCTTCTTCTTAACAAGTTGAATCTTTTTCGTTTGATTGGCACTGCTTAGGTAATTACACAGGCCCACACGGCCAAATCGATGAATATATAAATAGCTTGTAGAGATCAAGTTGTGGATTAGTAACAGAAATTTTATTTAGATGAGAGTTACTGATAGGATGCTATAGAAAGAATTCCTCTTTAGAGGAGGAGAATAGAATTAAAAAATAAGGTCCAAAGGACACACGCGTAACGTGTCTAAGAGCACAGTATATTAACTCGATTACTATCACGCACGAACTGCGGTAACGGCGGTTTTGCGTGATCGCGATCTCCGCGTTGAGCCATCGATGTACGCTCGTTTTGATTGGTATTGTCGATCGAACGACAAAGGGCTACCAATCAGCGATTCATACGACTGTGACAAACAACCTATATAGGCAAATTCTCGAACCTTCGGCATGAGCTCACGATATAAAGGAATTTCGGCTGTTACGTACAAATATATCTAATCGTATATTTCCGAAAATTTTCTTCACGACCGCGGGTTCGGTTAATTTTTTAACATAATTAATAAAGAGATATGTGTGGCACAATAAGATGTGTGGGTATAATGAAGTGGGTATATTCAATTAGAAGACATATGCGTTTTGCATTATTAATATATTTTATCTGATTTTAAAAATTATAAAATATATTACATACAGACATTGCCAATTTTTGCATCACTAATTTTCTCTGCCACGATAATCATGCTGTGTAATAAAATAGTATAAATATATCTTATTAAATAATTCTATCATTAAAAGATAAGTACTCTATAACTGAGTGGTACGTAAAAAAAAAAAAAAAAACTACTGACAAGGGGAACACCAGACATTGTCTCCTTCGATTTCGCTGACTCTGACGTATATTATAGTTCTATCCTTTCATTAATTCATGGTAAAATAATACGACCCAACTCTCAAGCATTCGCGAAACAAAACTTTAAAAATTTACATGGGTTTAAAAATATGCATGGCCTTTATGTACCGAACTGTAAGTACAGTTTGGCGGCTAAGCGGTGTGACTTGGTGGTTAAGACGCGCAGCTACTACGCTACGTATTGCTGGTTCAATTCTTAGGCCGGATTCACACCTTGGCAGAAAAGCAGAAAGCAGAAAAGCAGAAACCAATCAGAACTCGTGCTAGAAAAGCAGAAGCAAATCAGAA